CTCCCTCCCTCCCTCCCTCCCTCCCTCCCTCTCTCTCTCTCTCTCTCTCTCTCTCGAACTGCAAGGACTTGTCCAGGCAGTTGCTATAGGAGCCAACATTGATTCAAATGGCCAAAACAAAATTCTAAACAAATACAGCTTCTACGGACTGTTAAGCAATAAAAATGGATTTAAAACTAACCCTACAGTTAGAACATGGAAGGAGATAAATAATAATAAACCACGCACTATTTTACACACCTGGAAGGAATGAAAGGTTTTTAGTATTGAAAAGTCTGCTCCACCACGAAATTAACTGAAACCACTTAATTAACCAGAGATTCCACCAGTTTCAGAACGGTCTTCCCAGCAGTTCTGCTGAGAGATGGACAGCTTTCTTTCTTTTTCTTTGTGAACTGCTTTATCCCCTGATTTTGCCTTTACTGTATATTTCTTCCTCCCACCCAGCAGCCATTTTGCACTTTGCGTCTTTTACAGAATACAGAAGAACGGAGCTGGAAGGGACCTTGGAGGTCTTCCAGTCCAACCCCTTGCTCAAGCAAGAGACCCTATACCATTTCAGATAGGTGGCTGTTCAATCTCCTCTTAAAAGTCTCCAGTGGTGGAGCACCCACAATTTCTGGAGAGAGAAGTCGTTCCACTGATGAATTGTTCTCACTGTTAGGAACTTCTCTTTAGTTCTAGGCTGTTTCTCTCCTTGGTTAGTTTCCATCCATTGTTTCTTGTCCTGTCTTCTGGTGCTTTGGAAAATGGGTTGACTACCTCCCCTCAAATACGAGAATGCTACTATCATGTCACTTCTAGAGTCCTTTTTCCCCTCTAGATTAAACATGCCCAATTCCTCCAACCATTCTTCACATGTTTTAGTTTACAGGTCCTTAATCATCTTAGTTGCTCTTCTTCTCTATGAAGAACAACTATCAGCTCTACATCTATGAGCAGGTCTGGCAAATGCGTAAAGGCCACCCTGGAGTATTTTTTTTTTTTTGACTGGAGATTTGGGCCCCCATCTTTCAAACAAGGCATTATTATCACCCTTGGTAGAAACAACCCTGCGGTTTTGCTTTTTCTCCATACCAGGTTTTCGCTGGTCAGCCGTGAGATTTCCTGCTGGATGCCAAACTCCACTTGGGCTTCTGGGGACAACTGGAGTGTCTGGAGGAAGACTTCGTGCTGTTTCTCCATCGCTTCCTTCAAGGTCTCCATCTGGTCCTTTAGGGTTTCTATTTCTTCTTCATATTCCCTTCTCTGTTCCTGGAGTTGAGCCTCAAGGAGCCTGAAGGGGGTGAGAAATGGGAAAGATGAGGACATTGGTCACTCAGAAAATATTAGGTACCCTAAGACACCCAGAAACTGCCAGGACGCCTCTCATGATGTGATGGACCAGGGCTTGGATTCATAGACCAAACTGTAGGCAGATCTTAGATAACAAAAGACATCTTCTACCATGTTTCTCCAAAAATAAGACCGGGTCTTATTTTCTTTTGACCAACCCGTGATTTCCGCTACCGGTTCGGGCTAATCGGTCCGAACTGGCTGAATACTACCTCTGACATACATAGTAGGTAGACAATACTTACATTAGGAACTAGTGGTTGCCCACACTCATTACTCATATACATATCGGTGAGGAACACTTACATTGGGAACTAAAGATTGTGAAGGAGACACCCACTGGTTAAATTACACTGCCTGCTTGTGGGTTGCTACCACGCATCACTTCCTTCACATCAATTTTGGCTGCCAAGGTAGCCAGTCCATAAGAATTAAGGGCCTTGGTTATGGATGCCCAGGTTATTTATTTGGTTTATGTCCCACCATTCTACTTAGCTGGAGAATCTGGCCAAAGGAATAACATCTCAAGGACATTTGCTGAGTGTCCTACAACCTCAGTTCAGTTCAGTTCAGTTC